AATGTGTGAACATGTGCATGCGGTGATGAGAGGGGTGGGTGGGGTTTCATTGTACATACAGAGACCCGTGGCAAATTTGGCTTCAGATCTGGGTCCGGTTCAAAGTTCAGAGGTGGCCAGGTGCTGGCTTTGGGTTAAGGTCCCCTGGTAGTTTAGATGGACTTCTCCTCATCCCAATCCTGTACTGAACAGTGAATGCAGAGGACAGTCCCATGAATGATGCAGTAGGATAGCAGCAATATCTGCTGTAGAGGCTTCCCTGGGAATATACAACAACAATGAGAACTGGGAAAGCCCTACTGGGCCATCTAGCCTGTTCCCCCTCTGTTACTAAGGGAGCTGCCATTTTCTAGCTCTGAGGCCTAGTGTTAAATGACTCAAAAGAGCTTGCCTAAGACTGGTTTGTGTAAAAATCTGTCCAGTGGGCAACTTCCAGCTGAGATCATCTCAACCAATCTCCCCAACACAGCCTGGGTGAGGGTTTCTTATCATTGCTGCCACAGAAGCACTTGCCTTCTCCTGGCTTTAAGAGGGTGCAAAGACAGGTATCATAGACTGAGCTGAATTGTAGGGAGAAGATTGTGTGTTGAGATTTAAATCCAGAACAGTTTGGTTTGCTGTGGACATAATCCAATAAAAAAAACCAAACAAATCTTGCCATTCAACACAGCTGTGGAAGCAGCAAAAAGTCTATCTTTCTCTCCCATTTTTCGGCAGTGCAGAAAAGGAACATATTTTTTCTTTACTGATGAATGCCCTAAGCTGTAGGTTTTGGAAAATGCTCATTTTTGCAGTGGCAAATTAACAAAACTTCACCATTGCCAGTATACAAACCAGCCTTACCCCATTCATTGGGCAGTGTTGCACAATCAGCTGTACACCCTCTTAATGAAATAGAATAATTATAATTAATACATTGCAACAGCTTCTATACAGGGGAGATTCCCTAAAATTGAAGAGAATGGGTTGTGAAAAAGCAAATTTCTATTGAGATTATATTGAATTATATCTTGGTGATTTTTTCCCCCAGCATCATCACAGCAAAATGACTGTACATACAGTGCTAAATGAATCCTCACGAATCCGCTCCAGAATTATTAGGCAATTAGGCTGTGTTTTATGCAGCTGTCTCTCTGAGCTCAGCATTGATGTCTTCGACATTTGGGTTTATAGCCATATAGACTTGAAATAGCTACACACCTGAAGTTGGACAATAAGGGATTCATAGGAGAGAGTTTAACAGACAACAGAAGCAGTCATCACTTGATGTCTTGGAACAGATGGTAGAATTCCGGTAAAATAATGTTCAAAGCCTGAATGTGCCATAGGCAAGAACTTACTTTGTCTCCCTCTAAATGTTTTCTTTAAATTAGTTGCAAAACATAGAAATCTTTTTCAAGGAAACATAGTAAATTAAAATCAAGATGCTGAAGCACATTGTCAGCCAGGCAACTACTGGACTGTAGCTCAAGAAAGTGTGTGGGCGCAATCCTGTTCGATACAGAGAACCCCTTGGGACGCGCTGATTGCTCTCAAGTTCCATTAAGGTCAGTGCAAATGAAGGCACTGAGCTCCTCTCAAAATCAAGCCATGAGAAAAGCAGAGCTTGAAACAGACTTTAAGTACAGTTGAGAGGCTCTTTGTCTGATATGACTGGTGATTTCAGTTTCACTCGCGATGCTTGGCTAACTTTGATTGCATTAACTGTTGTACAGGCTCAGTGTTTTGTGTGCTAATACATTCCTTTTGGTGCCCATTAATGCAATCAACCCTCTGATTTTTCTTATGTTCTGCAGATTCAAGTTCCAGCTAAAACCATTCAAATTTGTAGGGAGGTTGCCACGGTTGAGCTGGTGTGGATTCAAATAAACACTGAACTTGTTTCACACAGTGTGCTGGGGAGGACAGCGGCACCCACCAAAACACAAAGGGTTGCTGTTCATAACTGAGCTTAGCAATGGCCTGAAAAGCCTCTTCTAGTAAATCAGCCTCCCATCAACACAAGAAAAGCAAAATATACTCTGCCCAGGCCACACTCACAGTTCAGATGGAGGCACTTAGCAGAGCGAGTGCCCTGAGACTGAAATTAGACTGAATATGGTTTAAAGGATCCCAAGGGACCGTGTAAACTTTGGACCAATTTTGCTGGGAATAACAAAAGACACAATTGTGATTATATTATCTGTCTTCTTAAAAAAAAAAGATGAAATAATAGTTTATACCAGTCTCTCAGCTGCTGAATTCTTCCAGCCAGATTTTCAGAAGTGCCAGTTGGTCCAGACTCGTTGGGAGCTGCTGATACGCAGCACCTTCGAAAATGAGGAGACTCATTTGTAACTGGAGATGGAGCACAGTCAGATTCGATGAGAAGAAGACTGGATTACTTACAAGGTCTGTTTAAGTGCCCCCAGCTTTCCATCCCCCGAAAATGGCAGGAAGCTACCCAAGCAGTTCAGTGAGAGCTGCTGAGTACTATGAAAGACTGAAATAATCTGCAGCCAGCCACACATTTATGCTGAGCACTTATATAGCACTTTTCACTTGCAAAAAGCTTTACATCTGTCATTTACAATTCACATTTGTACACCGCAGATGACTGTCTTGGCATAGCTCTCGGGGCTAAGAATTAAGACTGGTCAATTCTTAGATGGGAAACCCAGAGCTCAGCAGAAAGTGGTGCTCGTAATTCAGTAGGTGGCACCAGTCCCGATGAGCTAGTAAAGAACTGATGCCTACGGAAAGTGTGAAGAGCTGAGTTCCTCACTGAGGTGCCACCTATTAGAGGATATATCAAATCAAGATCCTAAGCTGAATCTCGCTTTAGCTAGTTCACACCTACTGGGTTTTCACTTTCCATGCACAACTGTTCAAGAAAAACATTTTTTCAGGCACTTCTCCCAAGCTGCATCAAGCCAAAAACATTAACGGGATTTTATGATTAAATGATTTTTTTTTTTACATGTGGATCTGTTGCATTACGATTTCCAGAGAGGAAATGAGATCATGTGACTTAGGCCCTTTCCCTAGATATTTAAGATGAGGAGGGATACACACTTGGTCATCGAAAGCTGCTATGAAACATAGAAGGCCAAAACCTTTAAAACTGACTAGTGATTTTGGGTGCTTGAGACCCATTAAAAGGTCTGATTTTCAGAGGCTGGGTGTCCAGGTCTTTCTGGACTCTTTTAGTTTGTTTACACTAACAGAATATGGGAAAGCACAAAGTTGCAAACGGCGTGGGCATAGAAGAAAGTGAATGTAAAGGTAAAACCAGCAAATTTATGCAAGCTGGTAGCCAAACCAGAGATTTCTCATCTAAGTATAATTGAAACAATCAAAGTGTGCACGAAAATGTCCAAACTGTCAAACCAGCTGTGGAAATAGAGTCTTCAGTATAAGCAAGTCTTTTATGTATTATTCATGCCTCACAGTTCAACGTATCTACCATCTACCAGCTGCAGGAGAAAAGCCTTTTAAAAGATCCCATTTGACTCACTAAGAATTACTGGGTGCAGTGTGGGGCTGTACAGGGAATTAAACTCCTCATAGATATATTGCAAGTCTCTTATAACATGATTGCGCTTTAAACAAGCTAAATAAATATTAATAAACCATAAAGAGCATGGACTCTGTTAGAAAAGTGGAGGGTAACAGATGGTCTGTAGTTAACAATTAAATGATGTTTGGTTGAAGAGACGGGGTGATGTGACAGACGGTGAGAGCAAAGCTTGTGCTCTTTAAGAGCTATCCAGACCAGGAGATGTAAAATACTGTTACAAACTCAGGCCCATCTGCTGTTCTTTATGATATAGTATATCCTTGTATGCTTTATGTGGAAGAAAGCTTGGTTAGAACAGCCTACTGAAAGAGCTGCTGGTTTACTTTATGTTCATGACAGCGCTCTGGTTTCCTGAAACAGCCAACACACCTAGGGCCTTCAAACTGCAGCGCTGGGTGCATTAGAAATATCTGAGGGACAGACATGTCACCTGATGACATCAAAGGCCCTCTCTGGGTTATTTGCACTGAAGTGAGGGATTTGGCCAGTTCATTTCCATTTGGATAAATACCTCCATTCACAGCCATTTCCAAACTTCTGGAGTCTGCAAAACTGGGCAGCAAATCTCTCACAGAAAGGCAGCTTTTGTGAATGTCAGGCAAGTCGGTTCTGGCCCAGCTGGAGGCTCCAAGGGTTCCCTCCCTCCAAGGGAGAATAAAAAAAACAAACCCCGGCACATTCTATCATTCGACTCCAAGCCTGCAAAGAGGGTTCAGGTGTCTTGTTCAGCTAGACCAGTGGTTTTCAACCTGTGGTCCAATCAGAACACAGCTGCGCCCCTGAGGGCCATCCTCAGGGCATCCTCAGGGCCATACAGGCAGTATATATATTGCATGGCCACGGCCCACAATAGTAAATGGATTGAGAATCCCTGAGCTAGAGGTTTGTTCAGAGACATGTGGTTCTGCAGGGTGCAGAGTGCTTCCCTTCTTATAGCAAAGTTCCCCAGAGTTCAACAGAAAACAATGACTTTGCTATAGGTCTTTTGAGCCATCCTACAGTAGGAACAGAGACTTACATAACTGCTGTAGAATTATGCAGGATGCTTTTTAAAAAGCCTTAGAAGAATCACCTCTTCTATTAAGTTCTACAGGATTTTAGAGAAATGTAGAACCCTATTACATTTCTATGGAACCCTTTTGATTTCAGCCCTATTAAATTCCATAGATCTTTTCCTTAAGTGCTGCATGGCACGAGTACCCTTAGCACTTATGGACAAGGACACCTCGTGGATCCACAGCATTACTTGGGATCAGGCCCAACATTGCTTCTTATTTTATCCAAGCTAGTTATTTCTGTTTAGATTTGCCCCCGAAGCCCTCCCAGCATGCTGGACATTCCTGCTGCAGGGATGGTTAAATAAAGCAGTTAAAAATACCTCATTGCTAGGGAGGAGCCAGAGTGATCTCTCCCATTAGACTAGGAGACGTCTACTGTTGTAGAATGAGAGATGGTGAAGGAATAAGTGCACAGGAAATTTACTACGCTGATTGGTGTTATTTTGGAGCACTCCAGCTGAAGAGCAGCTTGATAAATGGCTCAGGTGTCCAGCTGAAAAACTTAAGCCTTGAACGCCAGCTGGGAAGCTGAAATTGTGAGTGAAAACATGGGGATTTGCTGACTAAATACTGATGTAGAAATAAGTGATGCAAAAAGTTTCCCTTCCTCCACAACTGGCTTCTCTGTTGTCCTTGGGTTTAGAACAGCGAAAAGAAGTTTTTACAGGAAGTGCTGAATAGTGGATGGTGAAAAACCAATTAAGACAGAGACAAAAGTTCCCTTCAAACAGACTGGCAAGGAAATCAGCAATAAGCAGAGCAATCCTCAAAGAAGCTTCTGAAATAAATTAAAGAGAAAAAAATCCATTTACTTTGGATATTCATTTTTGTGCTTTATTCCAAAGAAATTGTTTTCATGTAAAGAGCCTAATGTAACATCATCTAAAGTATTCTGGGAAATTTGGTTTGGGGCTAATCAGATTTTCATTTTAGGTCTCTTTGGATTTGGACTCTGAGAAGGAGAAGGGGAAAAAAAATCCCATCTCTTCATCTGTATTCATCAGCCTTAAGGAGACTAATTGTCTGAGCCTGCCCCAGCATGCTCCAAAATAACCACACAGTGACACTTTAAGTCCTACATTCTCAAACTGTTGCATCCTGGCACTGGAGTAGTCTGTGCTGGCAGGCCCAAGGCATTCCATGCCAAAGGTGTGTCTATGACTGTGATATTCACTCCAGATCATGCGACAAAACTAAAAGGCACTTGCACGTTCATAGAGCCATATGTGTTAACGGTCAGGGTGAATCCAATCAAACTGATGGATTGTCCTTGCTTTCTCAAAAGCCATGTTAACACTGAAGAAAGTAGGTGTCCCTGACATGATTGCAATACCTAATTCAATTTCCTCCTCTTCAGACACTCAAGAACCTCACTGCCAGTGGTATGATGCCTAGTGCTATGCTGACAGCTCCTTTGTTGGATGGATAGATATAGGGAATGGCACTTATATACAAAGTTTAAAGGTGCTTGTAGCGGGTTGGTCACCCGCTCCGGGCCTGAAAGGGTTGCAGCCAGCCCTGGGAGAGGGCTGGGGCAGTGAGCCAAAGGCTAGGCTGATGGGGAAGGCAGCCTACAGCTGGCCCTATAAAAGGCTGTGGGCCAGGAGGTCAGGCAGTTTCTCTCTAACTGTGAAGAGAGACAGGCCTGGCTGCTTGGGAGCTGAGTAAGGTACCTAGAGTGAGCAGGGCTGGGGGAGCTCCAGCCTGGAAACCCCCCAGGCTGCAGGCCTTGTTAAAGGCTGGGAAGGGTACTGGGGTTGCAGAGGTGCAGCCCAGGGTAGGCAAAGGCAGCAGGTCCAACCCCCCCGCCCCCTGCCAATGATGAATGGCTTGTACACTGCAGTCTGCCCCAGTAAGCGGGGGCTAGAGGGTGACGGCAGTAGCCATAGACTGAGGCGAGGTGGGGATAGAGGGTTGGGAGTTCCTCTGGGTGGCGAGGCCCAGAGCGTGGGTGTACTGCCAGGGGGAAGCACCCAAGATAAAGGGGCACCAGGGTCTGGGAGGGACACAGGGGCCTGAGGGAAGTGGAACACCAGCCTGCAGAGGGCACTCTGGAGGCTGGAGAGCTAATTCCCAGGACGACCAGCGGGAGGTGCTGCGCTGGCGTGTCCTGCCTCGCTACAGTGCTTTGTAAAAACTAGAGCTGGTAAAATAACGTGAGATGAATTTCTCGTGACATTTTTGTGGAAAATGTATGCGATTTGGGGGGGGGGGGGGGGAATTTAACATTTTGGTGAAAAATTTCACTGAAATATTGAAATTAAGAAAATTCTGACCAGCTGAAATAAATGTCATAGCTAGATTAGAAAGATCATGGAAATATGTTACAACTAAGAAACAAGAAAAGAGGGTGGTATTTAAAATTCATGTCAGTTAAACATAAATGAGACAAAAGACAACACTGTCAAGCAGATATTACAAGGAAGAAAAAAAACAATATAAGCAGTCACCAGGAAAAGTTCGTAGAAAACAGAAACACCAGGTGTTAAGGTGGAGAATTTAAAGATCTATAGAAAATATTTCAGTGGCCAATAAAAGGATTCTTTAAATATATTCAGAGCTGATAGAAGTTAAGGGAAAGAAAATCGGTCTCCTAAAACTAATGATAGTAGGGTAGATGAGACAGAGAATACAGGACTGACAGTTTGGGTAACCAGTTGATTTGCATCTTTCCAACACAGGAGGATGGGAAACTGAAAAGCAGCTACTTGGTGCCCTTTGTTGTAATAGCCAACACTATTATAAGAAGGTAGATTAGACAGACTAAAATGCACCCACAAATTACAGATTCAAAAAATATCAAGGTTTTAAAAATTGGGCCCATAAAGTGTAAACTTTTTATAAAATACTTTAGACTCAGACTTGTGTGTGTCGAATTGAAAATACATGCTATTAGGTGGGATTTTTGAGGCATTTCAGTGAAGTTCTGTAACAGTGATTCACATCTTTCAGCATCCTCTACTGAGGGGTATCCATCCGTGCCTCCTCAGAAAAGCTTCTTGTTAGTTGTGGTTATGTAGGAAGTGAAATGTGTCCACACTGCACCTGAAATGCAGCTCTCTAAACTGGAAGGGTCATTTTGGTAAGCAAATCCCCAAAAGCGAGTATGCCTGCTCTTCCGGTCTCCTTGATAAATGCCTGTAGTCAGGCTTTAGACACTGCAGCATATAGCTACGTGGGCCCACTAGCTTTTTGACTGGGGGCTTCTGCGCTGCCATTGTCAGTGCAGGGGTGCTGGTACAATTTGTATCGTGGGGCTTCTCAGAGCCATTGAACCAAACTATAAACCCTGTATATGATGGAAACCACTTCAAGCCAGGGGAGCAGCAGCACCCCCCGCACCCTTAGTTCTAGCATTTTTGTGTCCGTGCTAGAAGCAGAATGATTTTCATCAGAAGGTAAAGTGGTGGGCTTGGGGTGAGCAGACAGCAAGTGTGAAAGCCCCCACCCCCATCCCAGGTTAATAGGCACCTATATAAGACAATGCCCCAAATATTGGGACTGTCCCTATAAAATCGGGACATCTGGTCACCCTAAATGGGCTGGCTACTGGTATCCTGGCGTGTGTACTGATGATCTGCCTAGCTCTGGGCTGCCATCACATTAAAGGTATTCTTGTAGTAGCTTGGGAGAAAAAATTAACATCTCAAAGAGAAATGTCACAATGATTCATTCACTGAAATGCTATGAGGTGATAGAGACATTTGGTGCAAGCGATCCAGACACTGCCATGCGTGCATGTAATGAGAAAAACCCTCAGAGGAGCTATGATTGCATAAAACATAAAGAATTGCACAGCTTCACTTAGAGCTGCAATGAGCTGCTCCTTGTTGTTCAGGAGATTAGAAACTCTGAAGTGCAAAATGGTCGGAGCAATGCAAACTCAAATGTATGCGTTGCCTCTCATTGTGGACTCGGATTGTAAGCTCTCTACTTCTCTAGCTAGACTGGATGCAGGCCCATAACTTTTTGCCTTGATGTCCCTTTGGCTAACTGAGTGCTGGGAGGATGCAGAGTAGAGAGGAGACCAATATTTCTTTTAGGGGTGAAATGAGAATATCCTGTGGGTGCTTCTTCCACATCTGACAGAAGCCAGGCAGACTGATTTACTGGGTTTATTACTTTTATTATGGGGAGTAAACAGGAAGAATTGTAATTATTAGTACATAAGCTAAATTATGACTTAACTGGCATCACTGAGCCTTGGTGGGATAAATCTCTTGACTGGAATATCAGTATAGAGGGGCCTGGCTTGTTCAGGAAGGACAGGCAGGGGAAAAAGAGGGCATGGTTGCGTTATATGCCAAGAATACATACACTTGTTCTGAGTCCAGAAGGATGAGAAGCAGACAAGTTGGAAGTCTCTGGGTGAAGATAAAAAGGGGAAAAATGGGGGTGATGTCAAGGTAGGAGTCTACTCTAGACCACCAAGTCAGGAGGAAGAGGCAGAGGAGACATTTCAAGAACAAATGACATAAATATCCCAAACACACAACCTGACAGTAATGGGGGACTTTAACTACTCAGACATCTGTTGGAAAAGTAATACGGCAAGATGCAAAATTTCCCGTAAGTTCTTGGACTGTGTTGAGGACAACTTTTTGTTTCAGAAGGTGGAGGAAGTAACTGGGGAGGGACAGGGGAGGGAGCCACTTCAGACTTGATTTGGCTAACTAGGAAGAATTGGTAGTGAACCTGAAGGTGGAAGGCGATTTGGATGAAAGTGATCATGGAATGATAGATTTCATGATTCTAAGGGAAGGAAGGAGTGAGGGCTGAATAAGGCCAATCGACTTCAAAAAAGCAGTCTTTATCAACCTCAGAGAACTGGTAGGTAAGGTCCTGTCGTGAGGCAGTGTGGCCTCCCTCCTAGCCAGAGGGGGAGGAACCACCCTCTGTGTCCCAGTGGGCGGAGCCAGGCCTGTCTCGCCCCTCCCGCCGGAAGTACATAACTGGGACAGGAAGTAGAAAGGGCGGGGTCTCCCATTCAGTTGGGGCTGAGACATCGAGGGAGGCAGATGGATTCTGCTGACACGGACCTGCCTGGACTGCCACTGGCCATCTACCCTGAAAAGATGCAGGACTCCCCGCTGATCCAGGTACACCCCAAGGGGAGGGGAGGAAATGGCCTAGGGACAGCCGACTTCAGCTGGGCTGTAGCTCCGCCTGGTCAGTGTCTTGCAGTTGGGATCCCCGCTGATCCAGTGGCGGACCATTCTGCCACTGTGAGGGCCCTGGGTTGGGGTCCGGTGGAGTAGGGTGGGCTCAGACCCCACCTGCCATCCCACTCCTGGGGTGGCAACTTCCTCTCGCCATGTCCAGTGGCCTGCGTTCATCTGTTGTCCTCCAGAGCTAGGATGTCCGACCCCTTGGGTTTGCTCTCTCTCTGCAATGAGAGACCAGAGCTCATTGACTACGGGGTTTACTCTGTGGCAGCATCAAGGACCCAGAACTAAGTGACCTCTGGGACTGCTCTGGCTCCTGCTGAAGGGACCCCAGGCCATAGCCTATGGTGTTTGCCCAGTCCCTGCTTAAG